TTTAGTTAATGATTTTGATAAAAATAAAAGCCGTACAATTTTAATCGAAGAATTTTTTAACTCTTATAAGTACCGCGTGATCAGAAATGACTGAGTCTGTTGGCAGTACTTTGTAAATAATGTAAATGTGAATTTTTCTTGCGTTTATGTTGGCATAATGGACGTAACTGTATGACAAATATGTCAAACGTGACATGCGATAAATTTAAGTTATGTTTTGGATACATTTTGCAAATTAAAATTGTTAACAATGTGTCAATCTTGACAGCTGACAACCAGAAATTATAGAAAACATCATGATATCAATTGCAACTAAAAATCCAAGATTGTCAACAGACTCAGTCATTTCTGATACATTCTACAGAGTGAGCAACAAGTATTGTTTCAGTTGGTATCAATGAATTTTTCTTGAAATTGGTAAAACTGTCACTCCACCTTACTTCCTTATTCCCTGTTGTGAAAACTGATATCTTTGAAAGTGACATTGAATTTATGATAAAATTTGTTATTTATTTTTGAAATTCTGATGCAATGTTGCCAAGTTATTCTAATGTTCTTGATTTTTTTTTCTCGATGATTTACTGTCCCTATTACGGAAGAAAATTGAAAAGTAGTGAAAACTATCAACTTCGGATACAGAAAATATAACAAAAAAGAGAGAGAGAGATTAATGGGACGATGCTCTAATAAAATATGTCATAAAACTGATATATGGCAATTTGAAAATATTATACAGGATGACTATTAATAATTAGAGCAAATTTTTGTGTTGGTAATTCTGAATTATTGGCAGCAATGCTAGTATGTCAGTTCACAGTTGTCAATTTTGACATCAGCATACAAACGTCATGAGAATGTGGTAGCTACTGACTTGGCCGTTATACCATTACAAAATTTTAAATAAGTCGCCAACCTGACAAAAAATCACTGTTTTCAATCAACTTTCAGTAAAAATGGAAAAATAATAAGATATTTAAAATTCCAAAATTTTTGTTGGCAGTACTGAATTATTGGCAACAAGTTCATAGTTGTCAATTTTGACATGAGCGCACCTAACAAACGTGATGAGAAGATCGCAGCTACTGACTTGATGGTATAAATTTGAAATTAACAGTCAGATATACCATAATGAAATTTTAAATATGTAGCCAACCTGACAAAAAAAAACACAAACATTAATAATGATCACTCGGTATATCAGGTTTCCGTTTAACACAACTAGGTTGTATGTTAATTGCGCTATTAATAAATCATTAAAGCAAATTTTTGTGTTGGTAATTCTGGATTATTGGCAGCAATGCTAGTATGTCAGTTCACAGTTGTCAATTTTGACATGAGCACACTTAACAAACGTGATGAGAATATGACTACTGACTTGGCCATTATACCATTACAAAATTTTAAATAAGTCGTCAACCTGACAAAAAAAATCACAAACATTAATAGTCACTCTGTGTTTAAAATATTGTAACACAAACATGACAAATGACCACTCAGTATATCAGGTGTCCGTTTAACAAAACTAGGTTGTATGTTAATTTCACCTCTGAAATCAACACACTGTATAGTTAATAATTTTAATTAAAATGAAAACTGTACAATTTTAATCGAAGAATTTTTTAACTCTATTAAAACTACCGCGCGATCAGAAATGACTGAGTCTGTACCAGAGACTTTAATACATAGACTGGCTGTGTCAGGAAAAACGTGAAGTTTTTCGACCGCCATATTGCTTATAACCGTAAGTGCGCGAAATTTGAATTTTCCGGTCACAAAATGCAATTTAAAATGTTAAATAAAAAAGACAACAAATTGTAATTATTTATTTAGCATAAGAATATCTATATGTATATGTAAATTCCTTTAAAAATATTAATGTCCTTGAAACAAAATTAATTTCGTGAATTTTTGTCTTAAAGAGATAGCTTTTTCACGCTCAGTACTTAAGCGGCACTCATAACCTATTCCGAGAGTCAAATAATTTCTCAAAATTAATTTAAGCAATAAATTAAAATAAGAATTATTTACGTCCAACTAATCCATACTAAACAATGTTCATTATGTAGAAAAAAAAAATGTATGGTCCTACTTTGCAAAGTTAAGGCAAACATTTTAGTTACCAAATCATTTTTAATGGCCATATTTACAAACAATCTCGTAAGTCCCGACACACAACCACTTTTATTTCGAGGTCTAGAAACGTTCTGTGCTAGAAACTACTGCTGCTAACCACCACGTCACTTAATTTGACATAAAAGTTATAGCAATGGCGTCCATACTACCATGCGCCGTGGCTTCACCAAAATGCATTAGAAATGTTACTAACAGCCAGTCTATGTATTTAAAGTCTCTGGTCTGTACTTTTTAAACAAAAATGTACATTTTTCTTGCGTTTATGTTGGCATAACGGAAGTAATTGTGTGACAAATGTCAATCATGACATGCGATAAATTTAGGTTATGTTTTGGATACATTTTGCAAATTAAAAATGTCAACAATCTATCAATCTTTACAGCTGACAATCATAAATTATCAGAGGAAATTATACATAAAAACATCATGATATCAATTTCAACTAAAAATCCAGGATTGCCAATAGACTCAGTCATTTTTCTAATTACTTTGAGCTCACTTGACCTGACCAGACCTTACCTGACTTGACGTTAGGTGACCTAAAACTGATACAACGGGAACTGTCAAAGTTGCATGACAGATTACTGTGTGAATTTTTTTAGTTTAAACGGGACTATTCTGAAACAGGTTAGAACAATAATGACACTGCAAAAATTTAGTGTCAAAATGATGACAAATATTTAACAGATTTGTCAAATTGACAAGTAAGGGACAGGTACATTTTACATTGTACAAAAATTCCATTGTCGTTTTTTCTAGAGCCAACTGTACATGGCAATTTGAAAATAATAACCGGCAGACTATTAATAATTAAAACAAATTTTCGTGTTGGTAATTCTGAAGTTAGTTTTGACATGAGTGCCCTTAACAAACGTGATGAGAAAATTGCAGCTACTCACTTGGTGGCATAAATTTCAAGCTCACAATCAGGTATGCCTTCATGAAATTTATGTTGCCAACCTGACAAAAAAATCACGAACATTAATAATGATCACTCGGTATATTAATTTTAATCAAAGAATTTTTGTACTATATTATAAATAGGTATACATATACAGGGTGTGAATATAATTATAATTTTTCTAACTAACTTGATTTGAGCTGACCTGATCTAACCTGACCTGACCTGACCTGACAGGTTAACATGACCTGTCCTACTACATTTAAGGTTAATTTTCATCATGTACTTTTTTGACCTCTATTATACAGAGTGATAACAGGAAACAGTTACTAATCAACAAGTACTCAGTTGGTATTAATGATTTTTTCTCAAAATTGGTAAAACTGTCACTCTACCTACTTCCTGTTGTCAAAACTGACATGATTGAAAGTGACATTTAATTTATTTACGTTAAAATTTGTTATTGAATAGTAGGGAAATGTCATCAAAGTGGCATGACGTCAAGCATTTGAATCAGGTTTGGCAATAGCAGCACAAGAAAATTTTCACAGAATAGATCTTTTACAGGACTGCCGCTTCATTGGTACCAATTCAATGAAAAAAAATGGTAAATTTGCGTTCAACACGAACATAAACTTGATCTGACTTGACCGGAGCTAACCTGAACTGGCTTGACATGACCTAGCTTGACGTGAGTTGACATGATCTGACTTATTACACTTTAAAATTAATTTTCTTAACGTATTTTTAACCTCAATTATACAGGGTCATAAAAATTGATTGGGAGAGTTGGTAAACCTGATCTAGTATAATTTGGTTTATGACGATGTCGAAAAATATTAACTGCTAGATTTGTGGTTTCAAATTTCTAATTTCAAAACGCAGTGGCGTCTTTTTTTAATTTTTTGTCTGGCAGAAAATATTAGTATTTTAGACAGATTAGAAGTTTCGAATTTTAGACTTGTTATTTCTTCACACTTAAAATTGCAGAATACCTTTAAAAATTCACTTTGAATAATCAAAGTTGTAGCAATTTTCTTGTGGCACCACTGAATTAATTGCGACATAACCTCACACGAATGTGTCATAAGATTGCTAAACTTAACGACAAAAACAGGCACTATAATCCCTCTCAATAAATTTTGATGACTCTGTAAACATAGAGTATGAGATGACCTGACCTGACTAGACGTGACGTTACTTTACTTTAAATTCATTTTTCTTCACGTACTAAATACTCTGCCGTTTCTGAATTTAAAAATTGACTAAACTTTGTAATGTAGCTGCTATAAAACAAAAAACGCTTTAAAAAAAAAACCTAATCATCATTAAAATGTTGAAGTTAAAGTTGTAACCTTGAAATTTAGAAATTTTCTCAACAATAATAGGAAAGTACCAAATAGAAATACAGTAATTTAGCACCATATGATTGAAAAAATAGTCCCCTAGTAGGGTATGAAATTTATTTTTAAAATAATGGTGTTGGCAGTACTAACGTGTTCCTTGTTCGGTTTGACAGTTACAGTTATTGTCAAATAAATGTAATGCTAACATAATTATTTTAAAAATAAATTTCACCGTCTATACTAGAGGACATTTTTTTCCGATTATATGGTATTTATTTATATGCACTAAAACCCTTTCAAGATCACACATTTAAATTTTTGGCAGTGTAAATGTGACTTCATTTTTCGTCCCCAGATCAAATTTTATGTCACTGAAGATTAAATTTACTTAACATCGTCCCTTAACAATGTTCTCTTTTTTCTGTCAGACAGTTTTACAATGAAACTATAAATTCAATTATGTCATTATAGAGAATTTTAATGGTTACTCACAGATTACCAACATAATTCAAAAGATAGGTAATCAAGAATCAAGACAACGAGTGTATGTTGGGTTGCCTATCCCAACCACAACTTGTTGGTGCATCACTCTCACACACCACTGTACAAAAACGATCCGACCACCGCCTGTCATTTCCAACATAACCTAAATAAACAAACCCCCCAAAATAACGTACAAAATGCTCCTAAAAATCCTCGAAACCCTACTAATCTACGTGTTCGTGTACGTCCTAGCCTTCGACGACATCTTCGTAGACGGAAACAACTCCCACGAGATGATAGAACAAGGTCGAACCCAATACCAGGTACGTACTAACCAAACTTTCACCACCTCAATTAATTCTCACGCCAAAGCTGCTCAGAGAAAAGGGCAATTTACCCCGATACGGCACCTGTTGGAAGGGGGCCATCGAGCACATCGAAGACGGGTGCAAAAACCTCTCTGAAGACACCCAAAGCGACATGGCCCTCCACATCACTAACTGCTTCCTCGAAATGTCAGGCCACGAGACTTACAACTGCGAACTAGACAAAAAGGCGAATTTGCGCAGCATTTGCATTAACAGCATGACTGATCGGGCGTTCAACGCCTACACGGAGTTTTACACTCACGTGCAAAATATTTGTTGGTTTTTGAGGGGGCAGATTTGGTATGAAACCATCTCAGAGAGCAGTTTTAAGGTGGGGAAGCAGTTGGAGATGTCGGCGAAAAACCAGGAGGAGTTGTTAGAGGCGCAGAAAGAGAGTATGGAGACGCAGAGGAAGATTCTGCGGCAGGAGAAGCTTCTAGAGGGGGTTTTGGGGGATTTGTATGCTTCTACGAAGGCGCATCGGGAGATTTTGAATGTTTTGACGAAAAGTGTGGCGAGTTTTCAGACGTGGGTAATCGGGGAGGTGTCGTGGTTTGACTCGGTGATTTTTTATGTAGTGACGGGGTTGTTTATTTTTATTTTTACTTCGGTGAAGCGGGGTGCTGGGGCGAGGTTTCCACTTTTGTTAATTTTGTGTATGAATTTTTTAATTGAGCGTTTTATTTGCTATCTTTTGATTTCTGAGGATGCGCTTGTTGACACGAAACTGTTGTACCAAGACATTTATTCGTACATTTGGTACTGCCGGTACTTTTTTATTAGCGTTAGTATTTTCTTTTTTATTTATCAGTCTTTCAGTTATAGAGACATCAGTCTCGAGAATAACAAGTTCCTACATGTTATTAGCGCACAAAATGCGAAAATTCTAGATATACTGAGTACTATTAATAATAATTATATAAGAGAAAGCTCTCCTAGGAGTGAACAGTTTGACTTTGTTAATGAAAGTATAAATCACAATGGGTTCCTTAAAAACAGTAAAGTAGATTTAGATGAAAGTAGTACGGGTACTTACTCAGAGAGGACTGTTAGAGGTAGAAGAACTTACTCTTCGAGACCTCACTTGTTGACTGAAACACATTCGGGTCGTTATAATTTGCGTAGTAGTAGGCAAAATACGCCAGACTTGAATTAGACAAATCAAGTGCCTGATTGTACATTTCGTTGTAAATATTTTTCGTTGTCTTAAATCGTTGAGTAAGCGGCAATGTCCACTCGACACTTGGAAAAAAAAGGGATCTGGGCTGGCTAAGAATAACTAATCCGTATTTTAGTATAAATTAAAACGGTGTTTGGGTGTTTTTCACGTAGTCGACGTGGTTGCTGCTTTTAAATTTTTAATTGTGTACATAGTACCAAGTTACCCGACTATAAGGGCCAAATTGAGGAAAACGTAATTTCATTTATTAGTCGAACAAATTTTACAAACGATTATTCACTTTGAGTGTATTTTCCTGATGGCTGTGAAACTGAAAGTCTCATTTGTAATAGAAAATTAACCACATATTTTGTTTTCTGATCGTGAATACTAGGTATAGTCAGTCCGCTGGAATTTGAAATTTTTAAAATATAAAATTAGATTTGATACATCATCCACTAACCTAAAAGTGTGCTAGTGCCAAATAAACTTACTAAAATGTATCAAAATGTATGACAATGGATACAAAAAAAACCTTAATAATTTTTTTACCTTCATATTTTATTTTTGTATAGTGCAAAAATAGCAGACGTAATAATAATATTTAATTAAAAAAAAACTCACTTTTTGTGTGACTTTTGTTATGTAGAGCGGTTAATTAACACAAAGAAATATACATATAATGTGTTGTATCACTTTTGGTTTTGTCGGTAATGACATCCACTTCTTCTTTTCAAACAGAATAACGTATCTTCGTACGTATAGCACTTGGTATGTACATGTCAAGTGCAAAGTTAAAGCAATACTGTATTTAGAGATCTTAAAAAACGCACTTTATTTAGAAAAAAGTTGAAGTCATTCCCGAAAAAATTAAAAGTTAGGACACTCCATATATTTTATGTATAATACACAATCATTGTTTTTAATATTTTTAATACTCTTAGCAAACAGAAAATTGCCTTTCCTATCCATATTCATTTTAAAAAATCAGATTTGCTTGTCCATAAAATGTAGATATTTAGGATTTTTTTCAATATTAGTTAAAAAAAATAGAACCTAGTTAACATTATACTGAGTTAAATTTGCAGAAAATATCGTCCCTAACTACTAGTATATAGTAGATCGAAAAATGTATTTGATTTTATTTTGAAGTTGCCGTCACTTCTGGATAAACTGTGGAACATAAAAGAAACAATTTTAGTACACACAAGAACAAAAAACGGTCGGAAATGAAAACAACTTATGTTTTTTAATTGATAATAATTTTGAGTATGTAGTATGTAAAAATTCCTTTTTAACATTTTTCGGAACAGTGTATTGTATAAAAAAAAAACACAATTTGTGAAGTAGTTTTAATGGAACAGTTGAGGTGAAACATTCTGTATAAATGTAGAAATTTATGGATGTTTTTTAAATTCTTTTCAAAAGTAGATCAAAAAATTGCATTTCCCTTCCATATTTGTTAAAACAAATCAGATTTTGCTGCCTACAAAATGTAGATATTTAAGGTTTTTTTCACTATTAGTTAAAAAAAAATAGAACCTAGTGAACATTATATTCAATTAAATTTGCATAAAGATAAGTACTAGTCAATTAGAAAATGTATTTGATTTTATTTTGAAGTTGCCGTCACTTCCGGATCAACTGTGGAGCATAAAAAAATAATTTTAGTACACACAAGACCAAAAAAAAAACGGTTTGTCATTTTTAGAAGCGATAGTCAGATAATAACAGTAATGTACAGGGTGTTTCATTTAATTGATTCTTCGGAAATACCGCAAAATCTCCACTTTTATAGCAAATGCATTTATTATGAACAACTTACAAAATAAAGTCCACTGTGAAACAGTATAAATTTTATTATAGCCACTCCGGTTTCGTCGGAAATGAAGACAACTTCTGTTTTTTAATTGATAATATTTTTGAGTATGTAGGAAGTAAAAATTCCCTTTTAACATTTTTCGGAACAGTGTATTGTATAAAAAAACCCTTTGTGAAGTAATTTTAATGGAACAGTTGAGGTGAAACATTCTGTATAATTGTAGAAATTTATGGATATTTTTTTAATTCTGTTCAAAAATAGATCAGAAAATTGTATTTTCCTTCCATATTCGTTAAAAAATTAGGTTTTGCTGCGTATGAAATGTAGACATTTAGGGTTTTTTTCACTATTACATAAAAAAAATAGAACTTAGTGAATATTATATTGAATTAAAATTGCAAAAAGATAAGTACTAGTCGATCAGAAAATGTATTTGATTTTATTTTAAAGTTACCGTCACTTCCGGATAAACTGTGGAACATAAAAGAAAGAATTTCAGTACACACAAGAACACAAAAACGGTTTGTCCTTTTTAGAAGCGGTAGTCAGATAAGGTAATAATATAAAAACTTGTAATATACAGGGTGTTTCATGTAACTGATTCGTCGGAAATGAAAACAACTTTATTTTTTAATTGATAATAATTTTGAGTATGTAGGATGAAAAAATTCCCTTTTAACATTTCTTGGAACTCTGTATTGTATAAAAAAAAAATACAAATTATCAATTCACTTTAATGGAACATTCGGGGTGAAACATTCTGTATCAATGTAGAAATTTTAGGATATTTTTTAATACTGTTCAAAAGTGGATGAGAAAATTGTCTTTTCTATCTGTTTAATTCTTTTTAAGAATTCGTTTGTGTGGAAATTAAACGCTGTTTAACAGAACTACATTTATTTCCCGAAACACGTCTGTTCGTCCAGACGACTGCAGTACAATTGTTAGTGCCGTTTACACATGTTCGGCACTGCTAAGATACAAGCCGCCCCTTTCGGCACTGTCGGCCGGCACCTCAAATGGTGCCGCCGCAGCTGGCCTAGGCGGCGGATACATATAATAAACTCAAACATCCCGACAATATTTATTGGCGTTAACATTGCTCCCCGGGTTGAAATGTTCACTGTTTCAACGAATATGTATGTTACAATAGTATTGTTCTAATGTCTATGAATAAGAGAAAAACAACAATAACAGTTACAAGGTGTTCAAAATGGTTTGAAATACTGTCACTCACGCACTCCACCTTCGATAGGAATCGCACATATTTTTGTAACAGGCCTTTTAAATGCACCGCGCACTGTTCGCACAGTCACCACCCGGGTTAAACCATCTTTCCCAGGATGAAGTTCTTCAATGCGACCCAATGGCCACTGGAGTGGTGGCGCGTCGTCTTCTTTCAGGAGTACTAGGGCTCCCAATTTGGGTTGATCGGAGATGGTAGCCCATTTATAACGTTGTTGCAAATTATTGCGATATTCGGCAGCCCACCGTTTCCAAAAATGTTGCCTCATTTGCTCCAACCTCTGGTACTGAGACAACCTTGTTGGCGCCACTTCCGTTAAATCTGCTTCCGCTGATGCCAATAACGAGTCGCCAACCAAAAAGTGACCTGGTGTTAATGCTTGTAGGTCTGTTGGATCGGAGGAAAGGGGAGACAAGGGTCTGGAATTCATGCAAGCTTCCACCATCGTTAACAGCGTGTACATGCTTTCAAAATCAAGTACGGCATTTTTTACCACCCTTCGTAAATGGTTTTTGGCCGATTTGACCGCGGCTTCGTGTAAACCGCCAAAATGTGGAGCTCGTGGTGGCATAAATTTCCAACAAATTTTTTGGTTTATTAAATGATCTATTACCTTTTTCTGAAAATTTGGTGATTGTAATAAATTATACAGCGATTTTAATTCTCGGTCAGCTCCTACAAAATTTTTAGCATTATCCGAGTAAATTGTGTCAACCTTCCCCCGGCGCGCGACGAATCTCTTAAGTGCGTTTAGAAACGATTCGGTGGTGCAATCACACACCAATTCAATATGAGTGGCCTTAGTTGCGAAACAAACAAAAATTGCAATGTAACCCTTAATTCTTTTAGTGGTTCTACCACGACCATTCTTTAATAATATTGGGCCTGCATAATCGATACTTGAGTACTGAAATGGTCTTGATGGTCGGACCCGTGACTCAGGCAAATCTCCCATAAGTTGTTGGTAAGACTTAGGTTTAGCTCTAAAACAAATTATGCATTGATGTATAATTTTTCGCACCGCGTTTCGTCCTGAAATTAGCCAATAACGTTGACGTATTGCGTAAAGTGTTGCAAGACACCCGGCATGCAAATGTGTGATATGTGTCAATGTAATTATCAATTTTGTTACACTGTGATTTTTTGCTAATATTAATTGATGTTTTTGATCGTACTGAATGGGTGCATGTCTCAATCTTCCTCCTACCCTCAATAGTCCTTTTTGGTCTAAAAACGGGTTTAAGTTTATTATTTTACTGTGATGTGATAATGGTTTACCTTTTTTCAAAGATTCAATATCATTGTGAAACGATTCTCGCTGACTTATTTTGATTATAATGTCGTGTGCATTATTGAGTTCGTTACGGGATAAAGTTAAACTACTGGGCGCTTTACGCGAGGAATCAGAAGTTGAATCGTTGTTTTTGTATTTCGAACTATAACGTAATTGAAATGAATGAATGAATCGTAGGCAATAAGCGGTTACTCTTATTAATTTTGTAAATGACGAAAATCGTGATAAAAAATCGAAAGTTGCATCAATATGTGTTACACAACATAACGGCTTTATTTCTGGCAAATTTTCGTCTTGAATGATATTTTTGTATGGCCATTTACTAGCAGGTTGTAATAAAAACTCTGGTCCATGCCACCATAGAAACGATTTCTGCAGCTGTTTGACCGCCATACCGCGTGATAAAATATCAGCTGGGTTTTGTTTGGACTTGACATACGACCAATCTGTAATTTTGCTTAATTCTTGTATTTTAGTTACTCTGTTCGCGACATAAATTTTAAGTTTAGCTGGATCAGTCTTAAGCCATGCTAAAACAACTTCCGAGTCCGTCCAATAGAAATATTTTTCAACGTTAATATCTAAAAGTGTTCGTAATTTGTTCATTAATTCTGCCAATAAAACTGCAGCACACAATTCCAGTTTCGGTATTGTTGTGGCACGTAAAGGCGCTACCCGATGTTTCGAACAAAGTAGATGTGATGTATATGTTTCGTTTTCATTCTTACACCGAACATAGACACATGCACCGTATGAAGATTGACTGGCGTCACTAAAGCCGTGAATTTGAACTGTGGTGGGATGTTGAGGTATTGTTTTTCTAGGTATGGTAATTTGTTCCATCATTTTAAATTCTTGTAAGAATTTTGCCCACATTGTATATAAATTTTCGGGAATAGATTCATCCCAGTTTAACTTTAAAGACCACAATTTCTGTAAAAGAATCTTTACGGTGACCATGGTGGGAGAAATTATACCCACTGGATCGTAAACATGCGCTAAAGTGCTAAGTATTGTGCGTTTTGTTGCTTTGTTACTGAACGGAATATCACTGGGAATAAATTTAATTGTGTCCGATTCGCTGTTCCGACACAAACCTAACGTTTTTTTCTCTGGTTGAGAAATAAGATGTACTGTTTTTGACTGTGTGCAGTTTTTTGGAAGTAGTTCTTTAATGTTTGACGACCACTTTCG